AAAGATTTCACAACATGCATACAGGTGACTACAAGGACACATTTATTAAAGCTGGGGACAGTAAAACAAGGGAAGGCTTAATATAGAAGAAGCAACAAGAGAGCCTAGGCTGGGCTGCCTTAGCTCACTGGGAAGTCAGAAAAAGGGGCTTTGGGGACAGGTTCAGGGGATTAGTCTGGGACTCACTGCTAGCTGCCCAATTGCCTTCGAGTTTAGGAGATGTGTGCCCGTGGGGACAGAAGTGGGGGAAGAAGAAGAGAATGGCGCAGACTGCTCCCCAGATGGAGAGCGTGCAGGTGCACGCTGCGTCCTTTGTGTTTAGGCTTTTATCCCTTTCTTGCAGGCGGGAATCTTAGGGGAGGTGTCAGGGGAGGGTGTTTCAGTGGAATATTCTTCAGTGGAGAAGGTGTGCTCTTTCAGGGTCATGGTCCCCTCTGGTTGGTTAGTGACAGGGCAGGGAGTCTTAGTCATTGCAATTGGTTCTGGTGTTGCCCACCTGGTTTTGCTGCTTTTCTGGGCCTGGAGCTGAAAAACAACTGAGGCCTTGGTGTTACCTCTAGGGAAGGAAGGATACCCTGGGGGCCTCGTTTTCCCAGTATTGCCCCCTGCCAAGCCCTCGTGACCCTCTGAACCTGGCTGTAAATTGCTCAGCCATTTTGTTCAGCTCTCTGTCTCAGTTTCCCTATTCCACTTGCCAAGGAATTTTCCTAGCTTCTCTCTATCCTGTCTCACCTGCAGTGGTATACTTTGGAGCATTTATAACTAAATCATTGTCTCCCCACCCCCAAATTCCCCTCCCTGTTGGGTGGGACAGAAGAAAGCTTAGTTTACAAGTACACTTGCAAGCGCTGCTTTTGTCATAGTGCCCATGGATGGGCTTTGGCAAGACAGACAAGGGAGTCAGCTTTCCGACTGCACTGTGTCTGTGTCTGTGTCTGTGCTAGTGTCAGATGCCACATCTCTGAGCAGCCTCCTTTCTCTCACAGCCCTTCCCACACTGTTATAGTTCCTGCTATTATTTCCCTACACGTTGGGTTTCTAGAAAGCAGAGACCTTACCATCTGAACAGGTTTCCCTCCTCCTGTGACCTCTCTCTACAAAGGGCTCCACCATCCTCCATGTCACTTGAGTTATCTTCCCTCCTGCCTGCTCACCACACCTGATCTATCTCCAGCCTTGTCATTTCTGTGGCTGGGAGCTCTTCCTCTCACCCGGCTTCCGCCATCTTTGCAGAGGCAGCCAGCACGGGCAAGAGAGTGTCATCGTAGCTCCTCGGCAGCCTGCCATCCCGGACTCACCTCCACCTCCACCCCACTGCTGTCCCTGCTGCTTCCCCAGGGGTTTTCCTCCATGTATTTCATGATCCCTCATGAGTAAAATCTTCAAGGGCTTCTTGTGATCACCCACGACCTTCTGTGATTTTCTGTATGTTGACCCTGCCTACCTAACGGCTGTCTTAGGTCATGTTCTCTAGAGGCAGAGCCTGAAACAGAAATTCAGGGGCTCCTGGTTTATCAAGGGAGTTTCCAGGAGAAAAAGGAGTGAGGGAGAAAAAGTGGAGTGGGAGAAGGAGTTGAGCAAAGGTGTGGACTCGGCTGAGCCCTCAGGAAGCTCTGGAGCTTGAATTGATCTCCCAGGGTGATCCCACCTGGAAGCAAGTGGTACCCCTGTCAGTCAGCCAGCCATTGGCTGGGGACAGAGGACAGGCCTTCAGAGAAAGGGACAACTGTGTGCTGTTAGCAGCCAACACTCACAGCCGAGATACAGCACCAGCCCTGGGGTACCCAGTAGGACCACAATATTGCCCTTAACCCCTGCCTGCACCCCCACCTCCACCCTGTTCTGTACTTTCTCAGCTGTCCCCAGTCATTTGCTATTCCCCTAAACTAACCAGGCCTCTGTGCTTTGCTTTCTCCCTTCTTTCTGCCCATAGTGTGTGTATTCCCTCCTCACTCAGCCCCTCCACCAGCTCCCTCTGTGCTGTCGCTGTGGTGCATTCTCCTCGGCACTGTGGCAGGTTTAATCTCTGTGCATCACAAGTCTGTCCTCTCCCTGAGGGCAAGCTTTCTGCCTTCCGTTCTCCTTTATCAAGTAGAACTCTTCCGCTACAACACAAAACCCCAAACATGACTTGAGTGACTTTTCTCAACTTTCCCATGCAAGGTATAGAACCGTACCAGACTGGGTTTACAGGAAAGAAGTTAATTTGTTCTATACCGTGGGTGCCTTAGGGCTTAATTCAGTGGACCAGCTGAGAAAGGCTGGCCAGTGGGATGGACGGTCTTGTGAGCCCCAGGCCACATTTCCAACTGCCTCCTGGACAACTGTGTAGTTATTTATCTTCTCAAATTCATCAAAGCACAACTAACTACAAAAATTGATTTCCATCCTATTTCTTTCCATAGCCAAGACTCAGACTTAACTTTGCATGCTTCGTTTCATCACCAGTCCTCCTGCCGCCGTTCGTCAGTAGATCCCGGTCCTTGTCCTTTTCTCTTCCTCCTCACCAGGACGGGCCTCAGGCTCCCCTTCGGCCTGGGCAGTCTCAAGTAGCGAGTATCCTGCCTTATTGTTCTCAGGCAGCCTTGCATCCGGTAGATCAGTCTTCCGCCTTTCCTGCTATAAAATCTTGCTCTCAGGAATCGCCCACCTCAAAAGACATGCTCTTTTGGCTGCTGTAGTAACATCTTGTTCACTTTCCCAGACAGTCCACTCCAGCCATGTTGGTGTAGTCACTGTTTTCTCAACTTCAGATGTTTGTTTATAATAATATGTGCCTTGGCATGCCTTCATTATTAAAAGCAAAGCAAGACAGACAGCCAAAAAACCCTTCCCATATATGTATACCCACCTTTTCTAAGACCTCCCTTTCCTAAGCACCTGCAGGTGGGAGGGCACAGCTCAGAGGCGGAGAGGTATAGGTTGGAATTCTCAGCTCCTTAGTTAGTGATGTGTGGTCTTTAGCAGGTTAAATGCAGCTAGCAAGACAACGAAGTAGTTGTTTTTAAGGCTTAGTGAGATCATGTGTAGGCTTATTCCTCTGCCAAAATATTAATGCCCCACCCACCCTTGTACTAGTAACTGTGTATAGTTAATTTGGTAATTCATCCTATATTACTTTGGGGTGTCTATCTATTCTTGTTCTGAATGGTTAATTTTTAATTTTGAAAATGTTAGTACTAGTTCTACAAATGGACTGAAAGCCCCAGCCTTGCCCTTATCTTTCTTCATCAGGGCCTTGATAAGAATAATGTCTTCTTCAGGCATGCAGCCATTTAAGAAGAATCTGTTACATTTTTGTATGTGAGTTAGAAATATATCATTTTTGAAAACCAGCTCTTTCCTAAATAAAGATAGACAGTGAAGCAATTGAAGCAATGATGTGTGTGGAGGTTCACACCCTGGCGGTCTGAGTGAGGAGAGGCTCAAATTTATGATTCCTGAGGCGCTTGCTCGCGCAGCAAGGCTTTCAGGACTGTAGTGCATTCCATGTTGTTTGCACCATAATTTACCAACAAATTCTCTGTTGTTGGACATTTTAGATGTTTCAGTAGAGTGTATGTATGCTCTTTATTCTTTGCCATTATAATTTCTGGTAACAATTTCAGTTTTAGTCTTAAATATAATTGAGAAAATACATTTTGCATGTGTATGTGGGGGGAAGGTGGTTTATCTTATCTGATGACAGGCCATGGACATGTAATGCATGTTCCATTCAATGTCAGATGTTTCTTAAGGGCCTGTATGTGCCAAGCCCTGTCGTAGATGATGGAGATACAAAGACAGCAAAGTTCTGGCCCTGCAGTTCAGTCCTCCAGGTGCTTGTAAAAAGGTAGAGGAGACCTAAAATGTTAACAGACAATTTCAGTTAATTGTGGTAAACAGGTAGCGAAGTACCCAGAGACAGCTATGGTATTGAAAAATGGTCATCACAGAGGAGAGCCGTTAAGGATCAAAAGTGGTTGACCAGGCCGATTGTTGAAAGGATTCCCACTGGATTGCAGCTGAGGGTGCATCATATGCAAAGGCACATCCAGGTTTCCAACAGTACTTCTTTGTGTCAATTTTTACTGCAGTGCCTTTTGGAATATTGTTTAGCAACTGAATATATGAGAATAAAATTAATCCAGAAGAACATGTAGACAGGCATATCCAAGAACATGTATATTTTTTAAAGAAAAATTTCTTTTAAAATTGCCATATTTCTTTTTTTTTTTCCTTAGTGAAACACTTTTCTTGTATTTAATGTTACACTTTATTTTTAAACTTTTTTATTGTGGAGAATTTCAGACAAAAGTATAAGAGGATTAAGAATTGTATGAGCCCATATACCCATCAGTCAGCTTCAGCAGGTGTCAGTGTAAAGCTAGTCTTGTCTCATCTATTCCCCTACCACATACTTATCCCTTAGTGATTTTTTTGAAGCAGATCTCATTTCTTCCCTTTTATCTGTAAATATTTCCATATGTATCTCTAAAAGGTAAAGGCTCTTTTAAAAAATTAGACTTTTTATTTTAGGATAATTGTAAATTCACATGCAATGGTAAGAAATAATACAGTGAGATCCTGTGTAATCTTTACGTGGTTTCCCCTGATGGTAGCATCTTGCAACACCATAGTACAGGATCACAACTAGGGTACTGATGTGGATACAGGCAAGTTACAGAACATTTTCATCATCACAAGGATCCTTCATGTTGCCTTTTTATAGACATGCCTTATATAACCACTGACAACTACTAATCTGTTCTCCATTTCTATAATTTTGTGGTTCCAAGAATGTTCTACACATGTAGTCATACAATATATAACCTTTTGGTCTTTGGCTCAGCATAACTCTTTCTAGATTTATCTAATTGTTGCACGCATCAATAGTTCGTTCCTTTTTATTACTGAGTAGTATTCCTTGGTATAGATGTACCACATGAAGGTTCTTTAAAATATTCATCCACTTAACTCATCTCTTTTCCTCCTCCTGTCTTCTTCCCCTCCCTTCACAGCAATGCCAAGTGAGTATCATTGTGTGAAACTGCAAAGCGATTGCTCAAAACCTTCCCTGCAATGGTACACCCGCGCTCAAAACAAGATGAGAAGACCCAGCTTGTTGTTAAAAGACATTTTCAAGTAAGTATGAGCACTCGGGCCATAAGATCCCTCTGATTTGGGTCAACTGTGTAGAATTAAGAATAGAATACAGTGAGAACCCTAACGATGGCTCTTGTACTTGGTCACACTTGGTCAAAGGATCATTTAAAGGCACATCAGTTAGAGATTCAGTGCACAGATGCCTTGGGGTTTATGCATCAAACTGTACTTGGTAAGAGTACAGTGCCTGGCCAAGGGGCCCCCTGGGCTCTGTACCTGAGTTTGGATGCCCAAGGAGGCAGCTCTGACAGTGCACAGCTCTTCCTGCCATTATTTAACAAAGAGGGCTTTTTCCCTTAGCTATTTTAAGTTAATCTAAAATATGATTAATTAAAGGCCCCTAAAGGCATTTGAATCACATTAAATATTGAATACTAAAAAAGATGACAGGTGTCTCAGCCAGGTCACTCTTATATCCTAATAAGTGGTAGAACTGTTCAAAGAGGAACTTGTCAGTTTTATTTGGTGCCAGCTGAATCATACTGAAAATTACCCCTTTTTCATGACTACACATAGTGTCCACGCAGTGTGGACAAGACAGACTTGTGATCAGGAGGCACAGTATAGTAGGATTAGTGCTGTACATACTGGGCTTGCTTTTAATACCATTTTTACCCTAAAAAAACCCAAATCAAAATAGGGGAATTATTACATGTACTGAATGTTATACTTTTTCTGGGGGCTGAAGAGAGGAATAGGTAATACTATATTTACAAGATTCAAAATTCAATAGATATTAAAGGTACTCAATAAAACATTTTCTTATCTCTGCTCCTCACATTTCCTCTTCCCAGTTACAGATAACCAATATTACCAGTCTCGTATATATAAGAAATACTGTGTGTGTGCATACATTCTTCCCCTGAGCCCTTCCCCGCCCCACTTCTTTTTTACACAAATGTTAGTATCCTATTCACTTAACATTGTACTTGATCCCAGGGAAAAATCAAGGTGCTTGTCCAGCTTCACATGGGGAGCCTGTTAAAATGAGAATTAAAAGGTACTGAAAATACTTCCTACAATACTTTCTGGCACCAGCATCTTCAAATATTAAGAAATATTTAGTGGACTACCAGTCAAGGTGGCAGCATAAGTAAACATGGCTTGGCTTCTTACACAACCAGATCAAAATTACAGTTAAAATATAGAACATCCGACACTCAGAACCATTAGAGGTCGAGTTGAATGGAAGTCTGACAGCTAGGGAATTAAAGAAACCGTATCCATCCAGCTGGTAGGACAGGTGGAGGTGTGGAATGGGATGGTCCCACAACTACGCATGATAGATAAAAATTTTGGAGGGATATCTCGAGGGCAAGGAGTCCCAGCCCCACACCAGGCCCCCCAGCCTAGGATTCCAGTGACAGGAAGATATAAGTCCCATAACTTGTGGCTGCAAAAACCAGTGAGGATTGAGTTGATGGAAGAAACTTCTGGAGTCCCAAGCAGGTCCCCTTATTAAAGAACCCACACGCAGACTCAGGCTCACTCCCTCTGAGCTCCAGCGCCAGGGTGGCAGCTTGAAAGGCACCAGTGGCATACAGGGAGGAACTGAAGTGTGTGGCATCAGAGTGAGAGCTGGGGGACACCTTTCTCTCAGACACAAAGGTAGGCAGAGGCCATTGTTCCTTTCCTGAACCTTCCCCCAACAGAGCCACTGAGCCAGCAGGTGGGTGCCACGTCTGAGACTTTATCAAACTGGCTAACACGGTTTTCCCCACCCTGAAGATCCCCTGAGACTCCGTACTGTCCAACTTAGGGGCCCACCCAAGCTGTTAACAGACTTATCCATATGAATGGCTGGTCTTGGCTCATGCTTCACAACTTTCTAAATCCTCTCAAACAAGCAACAGCCAGCCTCAGTGAGCCCTCTGCCCCAGTACTTCTTGCTAACTGGACTCAGGCCCAGGAATTAGCAGCAGCCAGACTAGATTCACAGCTTGGCTTCACCTGGGAATCTACAGGCCCAGCACAAGTTGCAACCATCTCAGATTGCTTTACAGCTCAGGCAGGGTGCCCCAGGCAAAACACAGGTTGGGGCTGACCTTAACCTGCACCACCTAGGATACTCCAAGGCCAGCCCACCTGGTGGACAGCTACAGACCATGTTGGAGCACCACAACCCTGCCCCTGCACAGCCAGTTCTCCATAGAGGGCAGAGGTTGCTGGTCAATGGTCACAGACAGTCCTTGCAGCTGACTGGCCTTGGTAAATCCCTCCCACTGACCTGCCAACAGCAATCAAGACACAACTACAAGAAGAGGGTGTACTCAGTCTGCATGAAGGTTGTACCTCGAGTACTCAGCTTGGGTTATAGGGGAGGCTGTGCCACTGGATCCTATAGGACACCTACTATATTAGGCCATGCTACCAAGAGAAGGAGTCAAAGCAGCTCTACCTAATAAAAAGATACAAACACAGGGAGGCTGCCAAAATGAGGAGACATAGAAACATGGCCCAAATGATAGAACAGATCAAAACTCTAGAAAAAGAATTAAACAAAAGAGAGATAAGCAATCTATCAGATGCAGAGTAGAAAACACTGGTTTTTAGGATGCTCAAGGAACTTAGTGAAGACCCCAAAAGCATATATAAGATCCAGTCAGAAATCATGGTCACACTAATTGAAATAAAGAACAGTTTACAGGAAGACAACAGTAGAGTGGATGAAGCCAAGAATCAAATCCATGATTTGGAACATAATGAAGCAAAAAACAACCATTCAGAACAAGAAGAAGAAAAAAGAATCCAAATAAACGAGGGTAGTGTAAGCAGCCTCTGAAACAATTTCAGGCATTCCAACGTTCACACCATATGGGTGCCAGAAGGAGAAAAGAGCAAGAAATTGGAAATCAATTTGAAAAAATAATGAAAGAAAACTTCCCTAATTTGGTGAAGGAAATAGACATGCAAGTCCATGAATCACAAAGAGTCCCAAACAAGATGGATGCAAAGAGGCCCCCACCAAGACACATCATAATTAAAATGCCAAAGGTTAAAGATAAAGAGAGAATCTTAAAAACAGAAAGAGAAAAGGAGTTAGTTACCTGTAGGGGAGTTCTCATAAGACTGTCAGGTTATTTCTCAAAAGAAACTGTGCAGGCTAGAGGGATTGGCAAGAAATATTCAAAATCATGAAAAGCAGGGACGTACAGCCAAGATTGCCCTATCCAGCAAAGCTGTCATTTAGAATTGAAGGGCAGATAAAGAACTTTCCCGACAAGAAAAAACTAAAGGAGTTCATCACCACCAAACCATTATTATATAAAATGTTAAAGGGACATATTTAAGAAAAAGATCAAAACTATGAATATTAAAATGGCAATAAATACATCTCCGTCAACAATTGCATCTAAAAAACAAAGCAAACAAGAACAGAGACAGAATCATGGACATGGAGAGCATTATGATGGCCTCCCGGTGGGAGGGGCTGTGGAGGAATTGGTGAAGAGGTGAAGGGATTAAGAAGAGTAAATTGGCAGTCACAGGATACCCATGGGGATGTGAAGTCCAGTGTAGGATATGGAGTAGCCAAAGAATTTATGCACATGATCCATAGACATGAACATGCTACCACGGTGTGGGGATTGCCTGAGAGAGTGGTAGATGCAGGGTGGAAGGGGACAAAGGGGGACAATTGGGACCACTGTAATAGCATAGTCAATAAACTATAATTTTTTTAAAAATGCAAGAAGAAAAAAATATTTGGCATCTATCGTGTATGGTATACTACGCTAGATGCTATATTTTTAAAGCCATCCCTTCCTTTAGAAAATAGGTTATTTTCCCCTGAAGTTTATTCCTTAACTTTTTCAAACACAGATTATTTAAAGCAGTGGTTCTTAAACATTGGTTTAAACTTTTTTTTTAACTTGTAGTCAGTACCACTTGGGGGGTTTATTAAAAATGAGATTTCTAGAACCATAACTAGACTCAGTTCTTCTCTCCAAACCATGTGTATGTGTGTCTCAGGTGTTTTTAAACTATATATAATAGTGTGAATTTATCAGATTCTGAAAAGCAATTTTTGTGGATGGTCTTAAGAGTGACTGGTGGCACCATCTCCCCTCAGTCAGCTTCATTTCTGGGTAGAATTCTTAGAGGAATAATGAGTAGATTGTTTCTTTTCTTTTTTTAAGGACTCAATCTTTTCCCCCCAATTCTTTTTATTGTGGTAAAGTACACATGATATACAATTTACCATCTTAACCATTTCTAAGTGTACAATTTGGTGGTGTTAGGTACATTCACACTGTTGTGCAACCATCACACAATCCATCTCCAGGACTCTTTTTATCTTGTAAAACTGAAGGTCTGTACGCATTCAACACTAGCCATTCCCTTTCCCCAGCCCCTGGCAGACACCAATATACTTCTGTATCTGTGATTTTGACTGCTCTGTGTACTTCATGTAAGTGGAATCACACGGTACTTGTAGGATTGACTGTATTGGAAAGCAGGAAAAAATTGAAGCTGAGATTCTGTAGTTCAGAAGCTATTAGTTGGTTTTTTTAAGTCCAGTAAGCTGCATTTCGATTCAGATTTTATTAGGGTGCCATAGTGGGAAAGGGTTTTTGTAAATATTTGTTTATAACAAAGGCAATCATAAATGACTAATTTATATTCTCAGAAAATAAGTAGTGCCTTCAGTTGGCCACTGAGGTCAACTTTAAAGACAGTACTTTCATGCTGCATGATAGGAAAACTCAATTTGGATTCCGTTTTCACTTATTTCATGATTGTTTCTGATTATCACATGACTGCCTCATTCTACCTAATTGATTTTTTCCTAGGTGTATATTGCTTGTATTTGGAGTGTGGATCCTTTACATCCTCAAGTTAAATTATACTACTGAAGAATGTGATATGAAAAAAATGCATTATGTGGACCCTGACCGCGTAAAGGTTAGATATTCCATTGGTGTGGTTTAAATTAAAACGTTTCCGAGCATACATTTAAACGGTAATATCATCTTTAAAGTACTATAAATAAATGTTCATGAAAGTTATAAACCGAAGGGAAAACACTTAGTCTTAGCACTCTAAACCCAGAATCCGAGACAGTCCACACGAGTGGAAAAACCCAACCAACTCAGCCACCTAACCCACAGTATACTTCCCCTTTGCTGAAGTCCTGGGGTGGGGTGAGGGGGGGTGAGTTCCATCCAACACGCTCTAGGACACCTGTCCTGTAGTTATCAATATGCCATGATGCTGTCAGTGTACATGTTCCTAAAACAGAATGGGAAGAATTTCTTTTAGTATCACTTGTCGTTCCTGTGTTTCATTTTTCTTTCTAATGATTTCTTTCACATTGTATTTCATGATTTTTCCTTAAAGTTTATTTATTTTTCTAAATCAATTGACCTATTAAATGATAATTTCACTGATTATTTGAGTGGTTAAATTATCCAATAATGTTCAGCCTTGGATGAAAGAAGAGGTGATTTTAAGTAAGGTAGTGTGGTAATAATGATAACCAAACATATACAGGTGCTTTACATGCAGTATCTCATTTTTTACTGTCATGACTGGGAGATTTCTCCGTATTCCCCCCATTTTACAGATGATGGCCTGGGAGGTTAAAGCTGCTTGCCCAAGTTCACATCTAGTTTAGTTACCTAATCTAGTTAATCTAGTTTAGTGTGTACTGTGTAACTGTTCTAAAAGTGCTCTAGTAATATAAATTCATTTAACCCTCTGACCAGTCCTGGGGATGTAGGTACTATTATTAACCCCAGCTCACCGCTAACAAAGTAGACGGGCAGCATATTATCACCTGTCCAAGGTGACCGTAGCTGGTGGTGAGGGAGTCAGGGCTTGGACCCAACAGTGTCATTTCGGAGTCTGAGCTCAGGGTGACTCTGCTTTCTGCCTGGGTAGGGAGTGTCCACAAGAGGAAGCCAGAAGATGTGGGCAGTGTGATACGGAGAGAAGAGAGCTTAAGTTTCTGACCTAGATTCAAGTGTAAATTCACTTAATAACAATGAAACCTTGGACAATTTACTTAATTGTTTTGAGACCCAGTGTTCTTAGCTGTGAAATATAGATAACAGCATCTATGTATTTGGATAGTCATCCAAGGTAAGCTAAACAATATCCCCAAAGTGTCTTTTCTGATCCTGATTTTTATTCACATGTTTCTGATTTAATCTCTCTATCCGAAGTGCCTCAAAGTTTTGGTGATATAGACAGGTATAAACATGTAAATGAAAAGATTGTACTTAATAAATGCACAGCTTGGCCTAAGCAGATCCTCGTGTCCCAGGGTACTTGCCGATCACGGCGCCTTCCTGTCCTTGCTGCTTCTGCCCTCAGAAGCTCTCTGACTCAGTTCATCAGCGTGAGCACATCTGCTTTGCTGGAGCAGGATGTGTCCAGTAGCCTCTGCTCAGGCTTTCCCTCTCCTCCTGATATGGCTGGCCTTGCAGGCACCCCCAAGTCCCTTTCAGTTCCAAGGCCCTTCCCAGCTCTCTTGGATCAAGTTTTTAAACATCCTGTTTCTTTTTAGTCTCCTGTGAACTCTTCCCTTTATTCCTTTGCTGCACTCCACATTCTCTATGCATCTTCTTGCACACTGCTGACCACTGACCAGCTGCAAAGATTATCCAAGAAATGTAAGCTCTCTAGTGAAGAGTCAAGCACACCATTTCACAAGTACAAGATTGGGGAAGAAGTGGTTTAGTAACACCTTGGGTAAAAGTGAACCTAGTGGTTTTAGTGCCTAGCTATCTGCATCAGTATGTGCTGTGGCTGCCTGTGACCAGGCATAGTTTGCTTGTCCCCGCAGTGTTCAGATAAATGCTCTGAACAATATGGCTGTTACTCTCTAAGGTTCCCCCAAGGAATCATAATGACTTCTGAGAATAACCTGAGAAGAGACTCAAGACCATGTCCCTGAGGAACCTTTGAAGGAATAGGGACATTTGTGTAGCCTGAGGGAGAGAAGACCTGGAACATGGCACACAGCAGCTACTATCAACAAGCCAAGGCCTGCCCCGTGCAAGGGTCGCCCTGCCTAGGTGGCCTTAATGTCAGAGATGCAGACCAGGGGGTGGGAGCCACGCTGAAGGAAGGGTGTAATGGTCCACGGCTTTCAAAGGTGGAATAAATGGGCCACCTTTTTGGCACATTTCTGGAGGTCTTTAAGCAAAGCCAGCATAACTGTTTTGGGGTCCCTGTAGGTAGAATTCAGGCATCAAACAGTGGGTGGCTCAGGGGCCTTTTAGATCCCTGAGATCCTGTGATTCTCTACATTTTACCAGCACCTGGCTGGAACGTTCAGGGTGGTTTTGTAACTTGGGGCTTTCTCTCTTCCGAAGGTAGGTACATGGGCACCATTAGTCCCCAACTCTTGGCTTTCAGACTGGATTTCAATGGTATTTTGAAGCCTCTCTGAAGCTTACCAGACTCCCTCTGGTATTATAATAATTTCTGTAAGCATTTAATTGCCCTATCTAAAGTCAGAGCCAGTGTTTATAGAAATACATAGTTTCTGGACCCTGGCCAGGTAACTTAGATGGTTAGAGCATTGTCCCAATACACCAAGGTTGTGGGTTCAATCCCTGGTCAGGGCACATACAAGAATCAACCCGGAAAAAGTCCAGCCATTGTTAATATAATGAGAAAAGTTTGCATGACATCGATGTAACCTGGCAGCTAAGGAGGGTGGACTGGAATGCGCATGTGTGAACAAAGACAACTTCACTGTACTAGTCAGTGGGGGCAGTAGACACCAGTGAGTGAGCATGTGTATTGCGTAGCTGTTGTATTCAAAATGACTGAGCAAGTAGAGTAATGAATCTGCATCAGATTTTGCATTAAGCTCGAACATTCCTCTGTGGAAACTATTCGGATGATTCAGAAGGCTTTCATGATGATTCATGAAGGCTTTTGATGATTCAGATGATGCAATGAATGAAGCACGCGTAAAAGTATAGCACAGATGCTTCAAAGATGGTCAAGAATCTGTTGAAAGTGATCCATATTCTGGAAGGCCTGCAACAGGCAGAACACCTGAGAATGTTGAGCATGTACGAGCTGCAATCAGCAAGGACTGGCAACTGATGGTGGGAGAACTAGAAGCTGATCTGGGGATACTAAAAACTACTGTGTCTGAGATTTTGGTGCAGGGTCTTGGCATGAAACGTGTTGTGGCAAAATACATTCCACAGCTTCTGCTCCCAGAGCAGAGGGAACATCGTGCTGCAGTCACTAATGACTTAATTCAAACTGCTACCAATGAGCCAGATTTCCTCAAGAAGGTCATTATCAGAGATGAATGGTGGGTCTATGGCTATGACTGGGAAACGAAGGCCCAGTCGTCCCAATGGAAGTTGCCTGGTTTCTCCACACCTGTGGAAGGTGCAGCAAAGTCTTAGAAAGATAAAGAACATGTTAACTGTGTTTTTTGATTGGGAAGGTGTTGCCCATCACGAGCATGTCCCAACAGGCCAAACAATTAATAAGGAGTACTACCTCAATATTCTTCATTGATTGAGAGATGCAATACGACGAAAACAGCCGCAGCTATAGGCACCTGGCGATTGGCAGCTTCATCATGACAACGTGCCCACTCATGCATCACATTTGGTGCAGAGTTTTTTGGTGAAACATCAAATCACCCAGGTGACTCAGCCTCCCTACAGCCCAGATTTGGCAACCTGCAACTTCTGGCTTTTCCCCAAACTAAAATCATCTCTGAAAGGGAAAAGATTTCTGACCATCAGTGAGGTTCAGGAAAATACAAAGGGGCAGCTGATGTTGATGCCAACAAAGGATTTTGCAGAGTGTTTTGAACAGTGGAGTAGACACTGGGAGAAGTGTGTGAGATCCCAAGGTGCCTACTTTGAAGGGGACTAAGGTGTCATTGTCCTGAGAACAATGTTTCTTGTATCTTCTTCAATAAATGTCTCTATTTTTCATAGTACATGGCTGGATACTTTCTGGACAGACCTCATAAATAAGTGGGAAATAAATTGCCATTTATCTCTCTCTCTCCTTCTAAAATTAATAAATAATAAAAAAATTAAATATGTATTTTCTGGGATTTCAGGAAAAGGATCACGATCTCAGGTTTCACACTGGTTTTCCATGGCAAATTGCCAGTCATTGATGCTTGCAACTAGCAGATGTCTGTTTATTTTCAGTTGTGGGCAGCCAGCAAGCTCAGCCTGGAAGACCTAAAAACTGAAGCCCTCATTCCGATACCTTGATTTGAGAGAGGTGGGAGTTCCTGTGTCTTTGAGAGTCACCCGTTCTCTGCTTCCCAGTGGGCCTACCCCTGGGTGAATGCCATCCATACCCTTCCTCATCCTCCCTTGCTTGCCTGCCTCGGCTCCCAGCCTTGGAGCTGTTCTGCAGCCAGGGGAGGAAGGCCTTCCTCTCCTCTCTTTATCGCAGCTCTGGAAAGCGAGACCCACCAGGTGTTTTCCTTCTGAGCTTCAAAGCATGGAAGAAGGAGGAGAAAGGCTGGGAGTGTGCATCTTTGAAGGAGTTAAAACAAAAGAAGAAAAAGAACTGCTGTGGCTGTAGGCACTTCTGGTGGCATTTGGACCATTTTCGCCCAGCGTTGATTTATTGCACCCACTGTGAATGAGGTCCAGGAGGGGTCACAGTCAGTAGACAATTCTAAGCCTTTGTGCTCTGCTCACAGCCTAGAAAATTAAGTTTGAAGCCTGAAAAGGAACCCTGCCAAAATGGAAATGGAATGAAATTTCATTCTTTCCAAAGGAAACTTCTAAAGAGAACACTTGGCAGCCCAGCAGTGTTGTGCACACGCTTCCGGCTTGCTCACCTTCCTCGCTTCCCAGTCACGAGTCAGTCACTGAGCGTCTCTAGGTCTCTCTTGGCACCTCTCAGTTGTTCATTTCTGTCCTGGGAGATTTGTAAAACCAGATGCTTGGGATGTCATTCTGTAGTAAAGAATTACATCTTTGTCCTTTAAAAACTGCTGTTTCTAACCTTCAGACCCAGAGTCTACAGACAAATGTATATAGTATGCACAGCCCCTCCGCCCTGCCCCACCAACCAGGCATTAAGGACCTGCTGGGTACCAGGTCAGGTCAGGACCCAGCCCGTAGTTCTGCGGCTGCTCCGGGTCATGACCGATTCCTCGCTGGGCTTTCCCACTGATTCTTCCTGAAGATGCCCTTTTGTATTCAGGCTCTTGTTGTCTGGCGTGTTTATGAGCTGCTCTCTGTCTGCAGAGGCTGTGGTTTTTTGGAGTTTGGGAAGTAATCATTAGCCCGGGTTAGCTTGACAGCTCTGCCCTTACTGGTTATGCTACGCAATAAGTGAGCCCACAGAGTGACAACATTGGCGACAGTCTCGCAAGGTCATAAGCAGCATGAGGTGAACTGAGACAGTGATTATGCATAGTGTCTGCAGCATCGACTGAGGCTCAAAGAATATCAGTTTCCCTCGTCAAAACTGGAGCCAGAGCCTCAAGATGTAAATGGTGTAACCTTTCTAGGTACTGATAGCTTTCTGAAGCTATAATTTGTTTAAAAGAAGGGGACTCGGCTACAGTAAGATATATATGTTTCTACAAAAAAATTTATTATAGCAGCTGCAGACAGAATTATAGAGGAGAAGATAGCCAGGCCGTGGAGCGCAGAGCCATGGAGCCACAGTGGGCGGGTCGCCATGGAGGATCTGTTCAAGATGGGGGTGGAGGAGGTTCACCGCCACCCCTGGAACAGGGAAGTCTGAGGGGAAGAGGATACTTGACTAGCAGGCTCCCTGAAGAGAGGAACGCTGGAAACGTTGTCCAAGAAGATTTTATTAAGTTTGCCAAGAAGGAGATGATGCTAATACAGAAAGCTAAAACAAGATGAACAGGTACTAGATTGAAAATACTCATCTTCACCCCACTATCATTTAATCATGGTTAAAAATTATTTTTAATAGTACATTGGCTTGTTTTGTTTACCAGCAAATCCAATAAAATCTTAGTGTATTAGAATCTATTATTATTTAGCATTCTAACCATTTGCCTCTGGGTTGTTTTTTTTTTATTATTATTATCTCACATCTTGAAACTGCAGTTACCTTTGAATTATTAAAGTCAGGGAGGAGGATTTTTTAAAAGATGGTTTTTTAAAATTAAGCACATTTTAAAGACTGAAATATTAGAATCAAAACCATAAAAATCCTCCAAGAAAATATAGGCAGATGCAGTAAACTTTATGGCATTGTTCTTAATGATATTTTTTTTGGATATGTCACTTTGGGCAAGGGAATTGAAAGAAAAATAAACACACGGGACTACATCAAACTAAAAAGTTTTTTCACAGCAAAGGAAACCATCAGCAAAATAAAAAGAACCTAGCAAGTGGGAGAAGATATTTGCCAATGATATATACAGTAAGGGGTTAATATCCAAAAGATAATCAGGAATTCAGAGAAATTTTAACACCAAAAAGACAAACAATCCAGTTAAAAAATGGGCAGAGGCCCTGAATAGACATTACTCCAAAGAGGACACACGTGAAGCTCAATGTCGCTAATAGTTAGGGAAATGCAAATTAAAGCCACAATGAGATATCACCCCATGCCTGTCAGAATGGATATCATCAATAAATGAGTGCTGGCAAGGGTGTGGAGAAAAGGGAACTTTTGTACACTCACTGTTGGTGGGATTGTAAATTGGTGCAGCAACTATGTAAAACAGTGTAGGGGTTCCTCAAAAAATTAAAAAAGAACTACCATATGACCCAGCAATCTCCCTTCTAGGTATTTATCCAGGTAAAGAAATTCAAAACACTAATTCAGAAAGATATATGCATCCCTATGTTTATTGCAATATTATTTACAATAACCAAGATATGGAAGCAACCTAAGTGTCCATTGATAGATGATTGGTTGAAGGAGAGTATTCCCCAGCCATAGAAAGAATGAAATCTTGCCACCAGTGACAACGTGAGTGGACCTAGAGGGTATTATGCTAAGTGAAATAAGACAGAGAAGGACAAATACCGTATGCTTTTACTTATATGTAGAATCTAAAATCAAAATAAGTAAACAAAACAGAAACAAACTCATGGATACAGAGAACAAATTGACAGTTGCCAGATGGGAGAAGGGTTGGGGGATGGTGAAAAAGGAGAAGGGATTAAGAAGTACAAGTTAGCAGTTATTAAAAATATTCACAAGGGCCCCGGCTGGTGAGGCTCAGTGGATTGAGTGCCAGCCTGCAAACCAAAGGGTCACCAGTTCAATTCCCTGTCAGAGCACATGCCTGGGTTGCAGGCCAGGTCCCCAGCATGGGGTGCAAGAAACAACCACATATTGATGTTTCTCTCCCTCTCTTTCTCAGTCCTTTCCCCTCTCTCTAAAAAATAGTCTTTTAAAAAAATAGTCACAGGGATGTAAAGTTCAGCATAGGGGCATATAGTCAATAACATTGTAATAACTATGTCTGGTGTTAGATGGTTACTACGCTTATTGGGATGATCACTTAATAAGTTATATAAATGTCTAATCACTATATTTTATAGCTAAAACTAATATAATATTGTATGCCAAGTGTAATTGAAAAATAAGAATTACAAAAAAAATGGGTTGTACAAAAATCAGACAAAAATAAGGCTTTGAGAAAAGATGTATTTGGGACAAACATTTAAAACTATTACAACAATAATAATCCTCATAGTAGTACTGACACAATTCAAAAGACATGCCCAATCCTAAAACTATGCCAGTAAATATAGAACCGTGCACACACACACTTGCTTGTCCTCACATGCGTGCGAAGGTAGCATGGTGGCAGGAGGTGTAAGGCAGGGCCAAGGCTGCTGTGTGCAGATAAGGACAAAAAGCACAGTGAGAGGGGAGAATTTTCTGCCAATCGGTTGGTTCTGAGGCAGCATTTGACCAGACTAAGCCAAGTGGAAAACTGTGGGGCAAAGGGGCATTTGTACCATGTTCTTCTATGACTTGCTGTGTTCAGCTGTGCCAATATACCTGGCATTGGATAGTTCCTTATTGATGCGAAATGTTAATCTACAGGGGAAATCATATATAAAACCAAGGCAACTTCTGTGTTGACGTGACATCGTTTCCTGATTACATTTTGAGTGATCTGCGTTTTAGTCTATACGAAGGTCGTTACTCCAACTGATAAATAAGCTTGTTTCTCATCCTGCTAGATTAGAGCCTGAACTATGAAAAAATTTTCAATTGTGGTAAGAAACACATAACATAAAATTTATTATCTTAACCATCTTTAAGCATTCAGTATATTCACTGTGTAACAGATTCCTAGAACTTTTTCATCTTACAAAACCAAAACTCTACCCATTGAACAACTTCTGTTTTCTCCTTTACCCAGTCCCTGGTAACTGCCATTTTACTTTGTTTCTGTAAATTTGAATACTTTAGATACCTTATATATAAATAGGCACATAGTATTTGTATTTTTGTGACTGGCTTATTTCTTTTTTTTAATTGTATTTTTTTCCATTACTGTTTAGCCCTTTTGTACCCCCTTCCCTCCCACAATCACCACATGTGACTGGCTTATTTCACTTAGTATAATGTCTTCAAGGTTCATCCATTTTGTAAGATGTGACAGAATTTTATGAAACATGAACTCTTAAACACCTCAAAATATATCTCTTATGTCCCATTTTTTTTTTAACAAGGTTAGGCTGGGGATTCGGTACAAGATGGAGGTCCTTTCTGCTTTACTTCTGTAATGAAAAAAATATTCTTTCTTCAGTCTATCTCCTTGTCATGTGATTCTCCCAGGTTTTCTCTTCAAGTTTCTAGCTTAAGTTAACTCTTAAAAGCAGGTGATTGGTGGTAAAAGACAATTCAAAAGGGGAGCTACGTCAGGCATCTTACAGAGGATATATTTCTAATGCCGGGGAGTGTTTTAAACTCCGATTGGTGTGATTCCATTCCAGAGAGCTCAGAAATATGCTCAGCAAGTCTTGCAAAAGGAATGCCGACCCAAGTTTGCCAAGAAGTCCATGGCGCGGTTGTTCGGGCACAGGTACAGCATGGACTTGCCTCCTTTTGTGAAGAAAACCCCCGAAGTGAATGAGGCCGAGTACAAGTATGATCCTCCTTTTGGATTCCGCAAGTTCTCTGGTAAAGTCCAGGACCTCTTGGAAATATTGCCTGAGCATGACTTTCCTGAACACTTGAAAGCGAGGAGTTGTAGGCGTTGTGTGGTTATTGGAAGCGGCGGAATACTCCATGGCCTAGAGCTGGGCCATGCCCTGAACCAGTTCGATGTTGTGATAAGGTACACTCGTTTTCCACCAACCTTTCTCCTCTAGAGTTGAGTTCACTGCGGTCGGTCCATGCAGCACCCGGAGCAGTACAGACATGGCAGCACTGCATGTCCCTGCCATCAGGGGAGTTAACTGTATAAGAAATTGAAATGAAAACATGAAATGATCATTAAATGCCTCAGACTGCTGTATTGACCCCATTTGGCAAAACACTTTCAGAAGAGGTGAGGTTTAGAAGGATGGACAGGTTCAGGTCAGCCAGCAAAGGAGGAAGGCTGTGCCAGTGTGGGCCAGGAGGAGGAAGGGGGGACTGAGTCAGCAGGATGCCTGGTCTCTGGTAGCAGGGCTTGGTGCCGGTGGGAGGCGGGGGGGGGGGGGGGGCGGCGGCGGGGGGTGTGCAGTGCCTGGAAAGTCGGGCTGCTTGGGGTAGAGAAACGAGTTTTTATGCATCCAACAGGCCATAATGCAGTCAGCCTAGATTCTTCTTGGTTTAGCTGCCTGTAAGTTTTTCTCATGACAAAAGTAAAGTATGTTTATTCTTGAAGATTAAAAATACAGAAAAATATAAGGAAGAAAATACCACTCATAGTGCAAATAATCAAGCACTCTTAATTTGCTGTTTTTTTCACTTTTGTTCTGTACACATACTAATGAGTGCACTTACATTCTTACGGAGTATTTTGCTTTTTTAACTTAATATTATGAATAGTTTCTGAGGTCATTAAATATCTTGGGGAAACTACTAAGTGTTTAATGTTCCTTTAAATGAGTGTATCATAAGTTATTTAGCCATTCTTCTATTGCTGGACATTTAGAATGTTTCCAGTCTCTTTGTTATTGTGAAAATGCCTTGCACATTCTCATACATGTGTCTTTATGTACATCTCTGATTATTTTCTTGGAAAGAATTCCAAGAATTCCTAGAATTGTTGGCTTAAAGATATTTGAATGTTTTTAAGGCTCTTAATATATTTTAGTAAATTGTCCCTCTCTTAAGGGAGTTCAGATAAGGACAGGGAACATGAAGAACCGTGGGTGTTCATTAAATTTGTTGAGAGTAGGATGTGGATTTGATCGAAGGCAGAATAAAATAGGGACAGGAGCCTGGGTTTAGAGGCTGCGACCAGGGCATGCAGTGTCGGGGGCTGGCGTGAGACAGAGAACGGAGATATAGCAGCTAAAGAACAGGCATGAGAGGCATACTGGAAAAGTAAGTTACAGGACTTTCTGGCAGTCTGATAATTAACGCCAGAGGACACCCGCATTTCTAGTCCGGGGGTCTGAGACAGTAGTGGAACCACTGGCAGAAGTGGAGCAGTCAAGGAAAATCTCTGGTTAGTGAGAGAGGGTGACCAGATCCATATCAGATATTTTAAACTAAAAGTGATGATGTGTACACATAATTCCTTTGCCTCCAGTAGCTGAGATCTCGGGCAGGTTTCCTAACTGTCCTGTGCCTTCGTCTCCTCATCTGTAAGTGGAGGCAGTACTAGCGCCTACCTGATAGGGTTACTGTGAAGATAAAATGAGTTAATAGATTTAAAGCACTGAGAATAGTGTCAGGCCTATATTAAATGCTCAATCAATATTAGCTTCTATGTTGGGGGGAATGTGTAGAAATGTGGGGGCTAAGGAGGACAGGGCAAAGGGTATAAGGTGTTTGTAGGAAAGAACCATACTTCTATAAGTTCCCAAAGAAACAGTGAGAACCAAGTTTTAAGGCAAAGTGGGTACTATAGGCCCCAGTGACCAGAAAGCAGGAATGGTGTGAAGTGGGAGTGGAAAGGTTGGGGTGAAGGCAGATATTCCCGCTGCCTTTCACTGGCTGATGTCTGGGTGACAGTGTGTGTCATGTGCTTTAGATGTCCCCAGTCCTTGGCGAAGCTATCACTGTTGGCCAGTGTCCACGCCAGACCCTAGCATTCCACATGCAGGGTTTTAAAGCTTCCAGAACCTCAACCCTGGCCTTCTGTGAGCAGCAGAATGGTCTCCTGTGCACAGGCAGCACTAGGGGAGGCAGACAGGACCCCATGCCCGCCTATGGTGCATGACTGGGAAATGGGAAGAGAGGAGCTAGGAAACCAGGGTTGCCGATAGTGCACACTCTGGTCCAGAGGGGAGATGTGGAAGAGACAGGCATCCTTGAGCAGCAGAATAGTGGGGTTGGCTCTTCAGGGAAGAGGAGGGTGGGTGGCAAGACCTGGGTGAGGAGCCCCACCTGGCAGGAGGAAGAAAGGGCCCCGGGAGAGCAGGAATGGGGGCTGGGCAGGGGCCTGGTGATGGCAGGCGCGGACTGGGGAGCATGGATTTTATGCACAGGCACTGGGAGGCCACTGAGCACTGGGGGAAGAGAGTGGGTGACTGAGCGTAAGTATGAGGGAGAAGCTCAGATAAGACGCTTTGGGGGGTAACTTTTAGACTTAAGCAATCCTAGACCTAACAGAAAAGTTGCAAAAATAGTACAAAGAACACACATTCACCCTTCTTCCAGATTCCCCAATTGATAACATTTTATCACATTGACTTTATAATTTTCTTCTTATATATACTATTATTTTTTTTCTGAACCCTTTCAGAATTAGTTGCAAATATCTAGCTCCTTTATCACTAAATCCTTTAGTGTTTGTTTCCTGAGAACAAGGATACTCTGTTATAGAACCAGAGATAATATTCAGAATGAGGAAATTAACACTGATACAATAGACCTTATCTAGAGTTTTTATTAAAATTTCACCAGTTATCATAATAAGGTCCTTTATTTTAAAAAACGAAAGGTGGGAAAAAGCAGAAAGAAAAAGAAAAAATAGCTAGTCCAGGATCATACTTTGCATTTAGTTGTCATATCTAATGTCTTTTAATAATCCAGGGGTTTTAATAATCCAGCAGTTAATAATCCAGGGGTCTGAGATCTAGAAGAGGAAGTGACAGTGGAATAGAAAAGAAAGAGTAGATTCAGGTGACACAATATGAGTGAGGAACCAAACAGACTACAAACCTGTGTAACAGGGTGAGTATTCTTGCTTTTGGAAGAATTCTTAGACTTTTCCCCCAAACAGCTACCCCGGTAAAGCCTCCACTGATCTAACAGTTACAAGTGTGCCAGATCCTTGCTTAAGACCAGGCTGTACCTGGGCCCATTGCTTCCCCTGGTTCAACCCTGTCCATACGTAACTGTCGCTTGTGTCTGCCTTGCCCTGGTTTCTAGGTTTTCCTCTCTGGTTACCTTTTTGAAATTCTATCAAGAGCCACTAACATCTGAGCACAATGGGAGGCTTTCAAAGAAACATTACTAGTGCCCAGAGAAAGCCCCAAATATGATATGTTTGGATTGACTTAAAGTGGCAGGACTAGAGAGAAATGCTTGACGTTCAGTGTCCCTCACAGGGGGCTGGAGGCTGCCTTCATCGAGCACCGGGGAAGCGTTGGGCTGTAGGGGCGAGGAGGCTGCTGGGAGGGACACCCTACCCCCAACCAGTACTCATTTCCAGTCCCCCAAAAAGTGTGGAAAACATGAGGAGGGGATTTTTTAGTAACATAGTAAGATACTTAATGGTCTGCTTTGTCATTTATCTAGTCCTTTTTATTTAAATAGGTTAAACAGTGCACCAGTGGAGGGATATTCAGAGCATGTTGGAAATAAAACCACTATAAGGATGACTTATCCAGAGGGTGCCCCACTGTCTGACTTCGAATATTATTCCAATGACCTGTTTGTTGCTGTTTTATTTAAGAGCGTTGACTTCAACTGGCTTCAAGCAATGGTAAACAATGAAACCCTGGTAAGCACTAAAAATTCAGCGATCAGGTGTGTCTTCGTGGAAAGTGAAGGGGCCTCTCATTGTAATTACAGACTTGCTTTTAAAGGAACAGAGCGGAAGGCACACTTTTGTGTTTTCTTTAATAACCGCCCCCTTTGTAGAAACCCCTCAGAACTCCTTGCTCCAAATTGCTTTCAGAATTTGATCGAGTCACAGGTGGAATCATGATCATTACTTAACGGGAATATCAAGTTTTGGACCAAAAGTGTTATTACTAAGGTTGACAATCCACCTTATTCACCAGAATTGAACTTACATGGCTTCTGGCTCTTTCTAGAGATTAGGTTTACATGGATTAACGTAAGCCATTATAAAGGATATTCAAAAGAATATACGTAAAATCTCCGAGGAATATTCTCAAAGAACTTCTCCAAAAATGCTTTGATTGGTGGTGTTCTTGTAAGAGTGAATTCACAGCATTCCAGAGGGGCAGATCTGGAGGAGATGTCCCTTACTTGGTCATATTCCAGTTGCTTGTCTTTAAAATGACCAAGCACATTACTTTCTTGTCCCACCCGTTATGTTGAAATAAATTTCAGAGGCCACCGGTCACGGAGTGTGTGTGCATTTATATACACTTGCACCAACTAGCTATTCACAAAATTAATAGAACATTTTAGACTTTGCACATAAGCTTCATGTGATGGAGACTTTGTATCTCCAGAGCTCGATTCTGTACAGGTTATCGCAGTCTTCTGGACTTTCTATTGAGTAGAAGTTTTTCTATTTGGAAGATGAAGCACATACGAAATGACTTATAGTCAGTTACCAAGAGACTTCACAGGGGAAACAGAGTAGATGGAGAGGAGAGATGTGAGGTGAGGGCCTGATTGGAGCCAGACACTCCCGGCACTCAGTACTCTTGAACTGGCTCTGTTTGCATGACCTTCCTTGAGCAAAATGGTGGCTTTCAATCCTGAAAAGACTACCACCTCAGGTCTCTTCCTAAAGAATTTCTTCCTCAAGCAAACAAGAGCTGCTTCTGCAGTTTCTGTCCTTGTCCAGTGCCACCTTCATAAATCAGGTTCTTTAGAGTTGCTTTTTTGAGCTGAGATACTGAATTTGCAAAGATTTGTGACTTTGCTACAGAACGCATGCCCACAAGGGGTTACAGTCACAGCTTGGCCTGATTGTCCGGATCGCATTCTCTCCCTCCACTGATTAGGTGACTGTTAAATACCCCTAATGACTGCTTGTTTTCTTTCCTTAGCCATTTTGGGTTCGGCTCTTCTTTTGGAAGCAGGTGGCAGAAAAAATCCCGTTACAGCCAAAAAATTTCAGGATTTTGAATCCAGTTATTATCAAAGAGACTGCCTTCGATATCCTTCAATATTCAGAGCCTCAGTCAAGGTTCTGGGGCCGAGATAAGGTATTTTTGTTGCTACTGAAAGTTAACTGTTCACTGCATTTGGGGGACAGCATCTGTACAAATTTCGGTTACGCTCAGCTGTATACCTATTCCAGTGGAGAAACTCGTCCATGATTAGATGCTTCATCTGTATTTACCACTCTGCACCCTGACCCCAGGGCTCCTCATTGTTTACTTACTTGGCCTTCCCCCTGGTGACTCATCTCTTTAGTGTAATCAGCACATTACCACTTAGGTCTCTGCAATGTCATTCAACGTATTCTTACTCTGGGACTCCATATAACTAACTGCAGGATACTGAAAGGCACTGGCATAGTTTGGAAAGTTCTTTACATTTTAACTCTGTGAGCCACGCAGGTGAGGATTGACATTTCTCATCATTTTATCGGTGACAGTAAATGAAACCATCCCCCAGAGCAGTACTTTGCAGTTGATGCATGGGTCCTACCGCAGACACTCCCAATCAGTTGGTCTGTGCTGTGGGCTCTACATTGGAATTTTCAGACTTTCCTGAGTGATTTTATTTTGCAGCCTAATTTGAGAATCTTTGCACTGTAGGCTGTTCGCTGCGGTCAGTGCTTTTCCTGCAGTCAGCCTGTGCTGCCTCCCGCGGGCAACGCGTCCTTTACTACCTATATCTTTATGATCTGAATAGCTAGATTTGTGTCTTTAAAACTTGTTAAAGCAGTGGAAATCATTCTTAAACAAAATTTTGAGCAAAACCTTTATATATAAAGGAAAGCAAGGAATTTTGAAATGTGGGAGCTGCTGCTTACACTGAAGACCTGAGGTATTTCCTAGGAGGCAGAGCTGGTCAGAGTCACAATTTGCAAACACTGAGCTAGACTCTTAGGTGTAGTCAACTGATAGGCAGATTAGCATGTTCTTTTGTTTGCCATATAAATCAAATCCCAATTATAAATATTCTTGAAAACAACTGTGTGAATTTTAAAGGACTAATTCTGTCCTTATTAAGGAAAACAAACACCTAAGCACTTAGGCTTCTTGAAAACAAAACCTAGTTCTTTATTATGATCAGTGGCAGTTAATTCAACTCTGGCTCCAGCCTCAGGCTCAACTACCCAGCTGGCCTGGGCATTTCATAGTGTTGAAGCGCTTCCCCGAGCAGGCTGCCATTTTCCGCAGATGCTCTGCCCTCTTTGGTGCTTTCCTGCCTCTCCATCCGTGGAAAGCCTTCAACGGCCGTGTAGTTCCTGCCCATTGCAGGAGTATGTCTAGGACCAGTTTTCCAGTCCAGAAGTGGTGCATTTTTCCTCTCAGAGGAGAGAGGCTCTACCTCTCCCCAGTGACTGTCAGGGACTAGGATTGAAATCATTTAATATGGTACTTTAGCTGCCCTCTCCCACATGGAGCACATAGGGGGACCCAGAACATGTTAATCTATTAGCATCACTTTTAACAAAAGTTTTTTAAAAAGGCTTAAACAGACTTTGGCAAGATTCTTAAACTAAGTTACAAAGATGGTTTACTGGCCAGTGTGACTCAGCTGGTTGGAGCATTGGCCCATAAGCCAAAAGGTCAGATGGGTTCGATTCCCAGTCAGAGCACATGCCTGCCTTCCTGGTTCGGTCTCTGGTTAGGGCACATGGAAGAGTCAACTGCTTGATGTTTCTCTCTCACATTGATGTTTCTCCCTTGCTTTCTCCCCCACTTCCTCTCTAAAAGCAATGAAAAAGAAAGTCCTTGAGTGAGGATTTTTAGAAAAAGACATTTTACCATAAATACACTTGAGTATCTTTCAATCATTTTAGATTTCTTTATCTTTTAAAGTAGCCTATTTCTTCATTAAATTCCATAGTATTTTTTAAACATAAGCAAATGCTCATTTGTTTGTTTATAAGTAGATTTTATTTAAAAGGTTACCTTTTAAAAATGGACAGATTTGATTGCATAAAATATGAAATTGTTAAACGGCAACAGGTATCAGAGACAAAAGTTAGAACAAAGTAAGTGGGGAAAATGTAGCATGTATATTACGGAGTAAATACTCTCAAAGTACACAGAGATCTTATTTAATCAAAAAGAAAAAGATGACCAAACAAAAAAAAAAAATAGAGAAAGGATATGAACAGAAATTTCACAAAAGAAATTAATACAGATGAGGAGTACGTGGCATATTGTTCCACTTCACCAATAATCAAAAGCAAATTAGAGCCAAATGACATTTTTTGTCTACTTTCTTACCAGATTTGAAAGCTTGATAATGTCCTTGGGGCTTTTTTGTTGTTGTTGTTGTTTTATTGTTGTTATTGTTATTATTAACAATATTGGGAGGGTAGGCAGTAGGAGAGCGAAAAACTATGAATGAGGCAGAGTTGAGAAGCCTGAATACTTAACAGGAGGGCTTTTTGGAAAGAAAGCAGATAAAGGCATCGACTTTAATTCTTAGGTGTAGAGCAGAACTTAGTCCTAAGCTTTTGGGTAGAATTATATATCGATGCTTTTTCTGGAGGGTAGACTAGCAATATATATCAGTTTTAAATATGAATAACTTTGAGCCAGTAATTTTACTGTAAAATTTTTAGTATAAGGAAATTAGATAAATCTGAAAAGATGGATCTTCTAAGATACTTACCATAGCATTAATAGCAAAAGATTAAAAACAGCCTAAACATTCATCATTAGGGGATTGTATAAACATATTATGATATAGTCAATGCAATATTGTGTGACTGTTAAGGATGAAGAAAAACTAAAGGAAATGAAAACACCTCCATAATATAATAAACAAGAAAATTAAGTTACAAAACATTTATACAATCCCATTTTTTGTTTGAAAATAAAAATGTGTTTATAGAGGATACACAGGAAAAAGCTTGGAAATAAACATCAAATTCTGAAGAAGGCCCTCCTCTGGAGGGTGAGGCTATGGAAGACTTTTACTGGAAACATTATAATCTACTTACATATTATCTGAATTGAATATTTGTTTATTTTTATAGTTGATAAGATGGTAATTTTGGGGGGGGGGGATGAAAACAGTAACTTAAAAAATGACTTCTGATCTAAAAAATTACATTACCCAAAACTTTCCTCATTCATATGGACTTCCACAGGAAGTCTGTTGGATAATGATCTTAGGGGATGTGTTCTGGAGATAACATGGTTTGGGTAGTTTTTGACAGTTTCTGAGTTTCTCTCCATTCACTGACCCTGTGAGCAGTTGATTTCATAAGGCTCCTTTCCTAGGCTCTGACTGAGTGCTCCCAGGGGCTGGGCTCTGAGCAGCTGCAGATGCCAGTGGCAGAACATTGCCTGAAGGCCTTAAACAGGAGGAAGGCTTCCTTTGGGTTAAGGTCTCTTGGTTTCTGTTTTCAAACTTCTTGAGCTCCTTTTGAACAAGTGAGGTTGGCTTTGAGAGGTAGATGCAACACACCGAGGAGCAGGAAGCCGCTTTCAACCTTTGGTGGGTTCAGCAAATGCTGCCTAATCACACTTCAGTCTTTGTACCCTGAAGCGTTTGCTCTTCTGGTTTAGGGAAGAGAAGGGAAGTTGTTTCTGCAAGCCACAGACTTAGCTAAGATGAACAGATGAGGTCCATTTGCACCTAAAAAATGTACAACAGGATATATCAATTAGTAGATCAGCAGCAGCCTTCAGCGAGGGCTGAGACAGCTGCAGGGGTTTTTCTGTCGCTCTCCACGCTAGGTGCTGTCTGTCCAAGGCTGGGATGGAGATCCCCAAAGCAGGGTTCCAGATTTGCAAGAGGCAGGATATCAGCCAGGAGGAGGGAGTGCTGGTACAGCCAGAATCACAAATGGTTTGGACATTTTGGGCCTAAAAATGTATTTGCCCAAACTGGGTGAGCAGAAACTGACTTAACAACTGTACATGTGGAAATGGCCTGGAAGTGTTGTTTGCCAGAAAAGCAAATGAGGGCCTTAGGTGGGCCACGGCTTCAGTTCAGGGGTGAGCACATTTCTTCACCTGAGGTACCGATGCTGCTCTGTTCTCAGGCACAGCTGGTCCACAGGTGCCAGCCAGGGAGGGACATGTTCCAAGAAGGACTGTGGAAGGTCCTTTGGCCTCTCATCCCAGAACAGAGCTTGGACATTTGTCATGTGAAAGAGGAAATGGGCTTGTTTCGCAATGCTGGTCATCCTACATAGGAGCAGTCGGTAGAAGTTTTAGGAAAATACACCTCTTAGCTTGGTGCAGAAAGAACTGCCAAGCTGCCTCTTGGTGGTGTGTTAAGAGTATTCACACCACAGACCATGTTTTAGAGTCTAGAATCTTGCCTTGGGTGGGAAGTCAGACTTGATAATTCTGTGATGTGTAAAGTTGTTTGACGTTTAAAATTGCAGCCCCCACGGCAAGCTTTATTACTTGACATAGCATGTACACTCCTTAGGAAGCAGAGAATCACGCTAAGATTGTTTTGTCTTTTTTCTTTTTCAGAACGTCCCTACAATTGGTGTCATTGCTGTTGTCTTAGCCACACATCTTTGTGATGAAGTCAGTTTGGCAGGCTTTGGATATGACCTCAGTCAACCCAAAACACCTTTGCATTACTTTGACAATCTCTGCATGGCTGCCATGAACTTTCAGACCATGCACAACGTGACCACGGAGACCAGGCTACTCCTCAGGCTGGTCAAAGAGGGCGTGGTGAAGGACCTCAGCGGAGGCGTCCACTGCGAGTTTTGAACACAGAAAACCTCACTTGAAAACGCACCTCTGACTCGGAGGGCTGGTCTTCATAGCCTTCTTGAGGCATTTCAGCCTGCAAACACTTTGAAGTGCAGCTGGTGTTTTTAACTTTTAATTTAAAAAAACAAAAAAAGGTTTAGGTCTTCCCACTCCCCCCTCCACTATTTATTTGAGGTCAGTGTTTTTGCACAATATTTTATAAATTTGGGGGACTCAGTTGGAAAGACCTTTCAACGCGAATTGTATGTAATGATGTTCTATTGTATTTTAAGAAAGTTATTTAATTTGTAAAAACTGTGCCCATGTTCAGTGCACACGGAATACCAGGTAATGAAGTGGAAGGGCGAGGGAGGTCAGCCTTTGAAGAGAGCCCTGAGTGCCTGCTTCTGGCTCTTGTTACTCTGTGTGGTAGGGCCAATGTCGGAGGCACTTCCGGGATGACACATTCCGTAGCTATACCCCTGGTCCTGGTTGGGCCGGGCGGCAGTGGGAGGCCTGCACTGGGCTGGCTAGGGAAGTTCACGGTCCCTCTCTGCTGGTCTGCCTCCTGCCAGCGACCTGCAGGAATCAACCAGGGAAACTGTCCTGAAGGTTCCTGGTTGGGGAGAGACAGGGAAGACATTTCCTGTGTCCTCTCAGTACTGCAGATCTGCCTTGGGCTGTGGAAGCCGCTGTCTTCCCTGCAATTATGACAATTTTTGAATTTCTTGTGAGTTCTTAACTGCCCTTCTAAAGCACTTAAATGGCTATCTGTGGTGTTCCACTGTCTGTCCAAGGTGGCTTATAAAAATTAGGACAAAACCTCTGTTATCCAGAGTTGTGGAAGAATAAAGCCTTTCCAAGAACAACCACATTTTCTGAAACAGTGAAATACAATTCTCCCCGGTGATATAAATGGCCTATTTAAAAAAAAAATTTTTTAAATGTCTGCCTGGCATTATGTACCAGGTAGTGTGCTGGTCAAGAAAAAGGAATAAAAGTTTTTGAGGAGCTCTCACAGTATAGTTAATTTGAGTGCTTTTTTAAAAAAAGTAATTCTCTAAGTCTACCTGAAATGTGCTTTTTGGGTGCTGCCAGATGGAGGCCTCACTGGGTGCCAGCAGTGAGGGACCGAGGCGGAAGGTCACCTGTCCTGCGAGGCGCCTCACCCCAGATGGCCGCAAACTCCTCTGCAGGGGTGTTGGGTGTTGGCGGCTTCTTCCCAGACAACAGGCTCATTCCAGCTTTTGTCTTAGTTGCTCGTCTCTGCGGCACCTCTTCTCCCTCTCTCTCTCCTGCTGCTGCTTCTCCCTCAGTTCTCGTTTCTCTTAACTGCGTCTGCAGCCTCAGGGCAGCTTTGACTCGCAGCCCATCCTGGTGTCTCCCATACCTGCCACCTCCCTGCCACCGCCTTGGCAGCTGTGGTTCGGGGAGCCAGGTCCCAGCGTCCCAGCAGAGTTCCTGGGATCTCCAGGAACTGGAGGCTCTGGAGTCGGGATCAGATTAGCCAGCTTAACAAAATAGTATTTCTCTGGATTTGTGTCTTACAGTTTTCTATGGATTTTGCTTTCTACTTTGTAAGATACTATTTATTTAAGAGAAAAGCCTTTTAAACTCTCCCCAGTTAAATGACTTAAGACTTGAAGATTGAGACTCAGGAAGATGGTCCACAGCTGCCCTGTGACCCAGGTCAGGCCGGTGCCACACATCTCCAGTCCCTCATCCTTCAGGGGCTATTTAAAGCCTGAGTTTGGGGGGTTGTTGGGTTTTTTTTGTTGTTGTTGTTGTTGTTTTTTTAAGCCAAGGTTTGTAGCTTCCTCAGACAACTTTCCAGTGTTGTGAGCACCTCCTCAGCGGTTCATGTGGACTCAAGTCCTCACAAGGCTGCTAAGAAGTGTGGAGCTCAGTGCCCAGCAAATGTCACAGCTGATCTGTCCCCACCCCTTCTCATCTATGTCCTTTTTTGCATCCTTAACATTGCTTTATCCATGACTCCCGACTTTTAGTTACTAGCAGGCAGTAAGTGCCCTGAATGAATAAAAAGGCTTTTTTTTTTTTCCCCCAAACCTTTTATGGAGTCTCCCAGCCATTTGGGGTTGATCAGAGGCTGTTCCAAAAACGTTAACAATTTCGCAATTGTTCGTTGAAGTTGCTTCTTTGCTTCAGAGTTGCTCCACACGTGCTTTTCTGGAAACAGGCCTCTAGGAGCTTCAGGATATTGCAAGGTGGATCCCTAGTAACTCGGGTTTTGCCATCACTCTTTCAACTTTCTGTGGCCCTGTGGGCACACACACATCCTTCTCATGTGGTCATAATCGCGGGTTTTGGGGCAACTTACATGTTAACGTACTTCTTCCTGGAACTTTGAGCCACAGAAAATATCAGTGAACTTTATGTATTTTTTTGTTTTCATTTTTATTATTTTTCCTCCTAGGGAAAGCATATTATTTCCAGAAACCTAGGCTGGCCTTAGAAAAATGCTTTGGGACTGGGATGGGTACTTCCTGATGACAAGTCTCATATTGTTCAGCAAAAGCTAAATGGAGATCTAGGCCGCCGCGTGCATTCTGTGTGTTACCCTGCCTGCGTCACTGCTCCTTTCGTGTCACACTGATTTTTTTTTTCATGCCCCAGGAATACATTGAGGCATTGACAATGTCCATTTCCACAGAATCGGAGAGTTCTCATCATGTGGTGGACCCATTAGTTAAAGTACATTCTCAAATCAGTTTTTTGACTGGAGTGATTGTACTGAACCCCTTGGCCATCAACCATCTGTCCAGTTTGTGTGGTAGACAGGAGCTTAATTGTAAAAGAAAAAGCAGTGGTCATACCCAAGTTTCTGCAGGATATTAAAGATTTCTAAAACCAAGGACCACTTTGTTTTAGTTACTTTCCAACCCCAGCACTTTGGGGTTTCATATAAAAGAGATTGTTGAATTTGCCTTCTTAACAGAAACTTTCAAACCAATGTTGTAGGATGACTAAGAAATGGTGACTTAAGCTCCAACTTGGCAGGTTTACAGCAGCCAAGTGTGGGTTATCTTTTCATCTGTTCTTTGGGACAACTCAGTTAAGTCTATTGAGAAAGAAGAAAAGGAACAGTACCTGTAATTTGGCAGAATGCCCCACAGAATGAAGCAAGCTTTTAGTATGCTTGAGTAATGAGCAAGAACTATGTGACACTGGGTCGTTCCTTTTCCTCACGCACATGGTAACAAAACTTCCCTCAAAGGACCCTGTGTTTGCTGCCTGTGAGACCAATCCCCTCTTCACAGACACTGACCCTCCATGAAGGTTCCCAGACAACCACACACTCCGCATTCGGACCAGAACATAGGCAACAGGGAAGCAGATCCAGTACAGAGAGCGCAACTGAAAACAGGTCTCCATGCCCTTTCCCTGGAGGTCAAGACACCCTGACCCAACCTTCCAAGTCTATTCTCCCCTTTCCCACTTCCCACGGTCTTTTCAGAGAGCATGGATTTGTGTTCTCAAAACATGGTATGTAAATGTATTTCCCTACAACCAACACTCAGATATAAGACAAGTAAATCAGGAAGGAAAACTATTCATTAAACATGCCCGCTCAAATTTTATTGACTAGAAATTAATGTTCCCCAAAAGGAAATTGCAGTCTCAGTAGTTTGACCTTCATTATTGGAATGATTGGATTTGACTAATTTCCAATATTAAATACCAACCCATTCAGCAAGAAGAAAAGCATCCACATTGGCAGGCTGTGGTGCAACAAGAGTAAATAGCATGCTATAAAATTTCGCTCTTTTTTAAAAATAGATTTTCCAATGAGCTGTGTCCGTAAAGCCTACAGGAATGAAGACACGTTTATAAATCTTCCGTCTGGAAGCAGTGAGATGACAAGTGATGCATTGGTGGCCGGCCGCCTGCCATCCAAGATTTGGCAGGCGTAGCCATTTGCAGCTTTTGTGCAGATGGAAATGTAATAGTGAATTTTCAGAAAATGTAAACATTAAAGAAACTGACTATTCAGTGGATACCTCACAGCAATACTAGTAACTGTGCACTAAAAATGTGTAACTTCTAAAAGAGCAATATGTTTCCACTGTATTCTCTGTTAACCTGGCTTGTGATTTGTGACTTATCAAAGAAAGTAGCAAAAAATTGTTATTAAAAATGATGGGTTCATTAAAAATGTTGGTTAGATCCTTGATTTGAAAGAGCACTCTAAATTACAGTACCAGACAGCAGTGTGACGGTTGACTAAGGACCAAGTGCTTGCAATGAGGGCCAATTCAGGGCGATTAAGAGCAAGAGTCAAATGCGAAAGCAGTTACCCATCAGGCAAGCCCATTTGGGGTGGGAACTGACCACCAGGCCTAAAGCAACGAGGATTTGAGGGTACATCTATAACTTAAGTTATAAACTCTAGTGACAGAATATTATACTTCTAATTCCATCTATAGGTCCTATAATAAGATACTGCCTATTGTAGGTATTATGTTTTTATTTTATTTGATATCTTTAATTGCGTTTAAAGATGGGCAGCTGATAGTCAATAAGACTGAGTATAACAGCTCTTAGGTCTAGAAGGTAGGTGAAGAATGTCTTTTATGCTAAGAGGAACAGAATACAGGTAACAAGCAATAAATGAACATTTTTTATATGTAATTGTCCTAGTGATTTAAATGACATTTTAAAACAAAAGCTTAATAGGCCTGTTTGATGGCTGTATACATTATTCATACATTTTGGAAAACTAACATATTGCTGAAATATCCAAAATAGGTGTGTGCCTTATCTTTTCAAAGGCCTGCTGTGTTGTGATTTATAATAAGAAATATGTATTTGGTCTTCCTTCCTTGTCTGGCACAGAGCTACCAAATCCTTGGAATTTTCTAAGTAGTGAGAGTGATAAAGTGCCTGTCACTATGTTAATGATGACTTTTGGAAGTCACCTAAAGATGAGGGCTGGTTGCCAATGGAACCAACCATGTGACTAGAGAGTTGGAACTTTCAGGCCCATCCCCCAACCTCAGGGGGGAGGAGAGGCACTGGAGGGTGAATCATTTGCCAATGGTCAATGACTGTATCATGCCTATGTAAGGGAGGCCCCATGAAAAGCCAGAAGGGCGGGTTCCAGAGAGCTCCCTGGTTGATGAGCGTGTGGAAATGTGGGAGAATGGTGCATGCGGGGAGGACATAGAAGATCCTCGCCCTTTCCTCATTCCTTGCTTTATGCTTCTTTTCCATCTCGCTGTGCCTGAGTTACATCCTTTTACAATAAACCAGTGATCTAGTAAAATGTTTCTTTGAGTTCTGTGAGCCACTCTTCAACTAGCAAATTCATTGAACCCAAAGTGGGGATCTTGGGAACCTCTGATAGATAGCCAGTCCATCAGAAGGACAGGTGGCACCCTGGATCTGTGACTGGCAGCTTGAGTAGGAGGGAGTTGTTGGAACCTCCAATTTGTAGCCAATTGGTCAGAAGTACAAGCCTGGGCCTGGAATTGGCATTGGATATTGGTGCGGGGAGCAGTGTTGTAGGACTGAGCCCTCAACCTGTGGAATCTGATGCTATTTCCAGGTAGATAGTGTCAGAATTGAGTCGAGTTCTCTGACACACTGCTGGTAGCTGAGCATTGCTTGTTGGAGGTATGGGGGAGCGCCCCCCCACCCACACACACACATACATTGAAATTGAGTGCTCAGAACCAGAGGGCCTGCCACGGTACCTTGAGGTATGGGTTGAGGTTTTGGACTATAACAGGGTAGTTTCTATATTAAAGGCTTTATGTTTTGTACTGAAGGCAGACATAGTGTATTATATGGAATTTGGAATCCAAGATAATATACCACCATGGTATCTACATACCTGCTTTTTTTTTTTTTGCTATGCATATTTTACTCAGTAAAAACTTTTAATTTTTTTAAGGATTTTATTTGTTTTTAGAGAGGAGAAGGGAGGGAGAAAGAGAGGGAAACATCAATGTGTGGTTGCCTCTCATGCGCCCCCTGCTGGAGACCTGGCCCGCAACCCAAGCATGTGCTCTAGACTGGGAATCAAACTGGCAACCCTTTGGTTCGCAGGCTGGCACACAACCCACTGAGCCACACTAGCCAGGACTAAAAACTATTTTTAAAAGATGGTAATGCTAAAGATCTGATCATTTTGAATTATACAGCCCTGTCTTTGAAATAATGGAAGACCAAAGACCCAACAGGTTTTATTCTGGAGCTGATTTCTCTTCCAGTGTAATGGTCAGTATAAAGAATGGGTGAGATTCAAAACACACACACACGCACACACACACACACACACACGCAACACCAAACAAACTAGATTCTAGTCTAAACCAAGAATCAGTCCCAAAATGAAACGTTGAGTGGCCTTTCCCTCCCCATCTTTTGCCTGTGGCTCACCTATGTCACTTTTCTCTGCAAACCTGACCTAAAAACACGGGTGCAC